TTAGCCAGCAAAGATATATTTTATATGCACACATAAAATACCCTGTGTTTATACAGCACTCTCCTTGTAAAGAGCTCATAGCAATTACACATGTTCTCATTATTCCTATGAACGCCCTGGGGAGGTAGCTAGTTGGTAAAGGAAATAGAAGAGAATGAGGGGGGAAAAAAAGTGTTAAATTAGAAATCAAGGCAGTATCTAGCCTCAATGCTATAAACAGTCTTCTTTTCTCCCAGCATAGGAAACCTTGACTTTAGGACTTTAGAACAGCGTTTTTCAACCACTGTTCCACGGCACACTAGAGATGTTGCCTGGTGTGCCGTAGGTGCAGACAAGACAAGAATTTTATAATTTTTCACTATTTTGTTTACTTAATATTTCATAATAAAGTAATTATAAAATACTTTCTTTGTGTTTATTTGATTCCTATTCAAGAGAATTACTTTATATATAGTCAATATAGGCACAGAGTTAAATTTTTTTAACATTTTCTAATGGTGGTGTGCCTCGTGATTTTTTTCATGAAACAAGTGTGCCTTTGCCCAAAAAAGGTTGAAAAACACTGCTTTAGAGTATCTTGCTTAAGAAGGTTCTAGAACTAGACTCTACCCCTGACAATTCTCTATGGGCATGGCCGTGGAGATGTCCCACTCTCCTGGTTCCCTTGCTACTTTGGCCCCAAACCAGGGCCTCGGCGGGAGCTTGTAGTCCAAGCCCACCTGGCTCCAGAGCACAGGGGGTTCACCCAAAGGCCAGGAGAGGGGCGGCCAGCGAGGAGCGGGAGGCACCTGCGGCAGGAGCCCTTCCTGTGACCCGCCGTCCTGGGCTCCGTGCCAATGACACTCTGTCCCCTGCACGGCAGCCTCATCCCGCCGGGTCCCTGGCTGCTCAGCCTGCCCGCAGCGCTTGCCCAGGAGGCTCTGGCAGTTCCTTCAGAGGACACGTCAGGTTAACTTCAATGCCGGTGTCTTCTCCCCGCACCCAGAATGTATCTGTGCCACATGGCAGAGAGTACAAGATAGCTGATAATTCAAAGTGGATGAGAGAACGAACCGAACTGTGTGTCTGTGTTTGTGTACGTTTGTGGCAGAAACAGAGAGAGGCAGAAACAGAAAAAAACAGAGACAGAGAAAAGAGAAAAGCAAAGAGCCACAGAGGCTGTGGGAATTCCTGAACAAAGAAATTGTTTTCGTTTGAGTTGTTTTGTTTTTAATGGTTTTACTGTTTGTTTGTTTGTTTGTTTGTTTATTATTGGTAGAGGGCCGATGTTTAAAGGTAAATCTCCCAGATGGGTAGCCCTGAGCTGCACCTAAGCCTGAACCCCAGGCTGTGGTGACCCCTTCGCAGCCTCCTCCGGAGGGAACGCTGAGGGGGAGCAAGGCCAGGGAGCTCTGCCTGTGGGAAAGGTGTCCCTGGCCCCACAGCGCTAGATATTCAGGCTGTCGGGAAGGTCAAGTCTAAAGAAGACTTCCCAGCACCCCAGTGGGACTTCCTGATGCCACAGTAACGGCAGCTGATCTCCTGCTGGTGCAGGCCTGGTCTCCTGCTCACCAAGGAGTGAGGTTCTGGGGCGTTTCCTGACATCCAAGGGTCCTCACACCCAGCTCAGGAGTCCTTTGAAGCAGTCAGTGGTCCACACCAGGTGCACAAAACAAACCAGTGGACTGGGTGGAAGCAGCACTGGCTTGGGAAGGAGGAGGCAGGTGTTCGTCTTCCTGGTTCCATGGCAGCCGCAGTGATTCCTTCGGCACTCATCTGCTGAGCCTCTGCTGGACGCTGGGGCCTGCCTGGGCGGATAGAAGCAAAGAGCAAAACAGCCCCAGGGCCCCTGCGTCAGTGGGCTCACAGGACCTGCCCTCTGAGGGCCGCTCCCGTGCAATGTGCTGTCAGCAATGTCTTACAGACAAGAGGGCCTCTCTATCTCCTGGGCAATGAATTCAGCCCCTGCTAAGTAAAAAGAATCACGTTTTGTTTCTTGGTTTGTTTACATTTGAGTCCCCAAACTGAACTCCTTCACACTTGCAATGTGGGTGTCTGAAATGTTCATTGAGCCTCATCACGGCCCCTGGAGAGGTAAATGCTGCAACATCTGCCACAATCAAAAACACTTAGGAGCCTCCTGTCTGCCGGCCCCACATGTACAAAGTAAAGAGGCACAGCCCAGCTGTCCAGAAGCTTCTAGAAGCCCTGGACCTCACCCACATAAAGGACAAACAAACCACTGAGCAAACTCTGATAAAATGGTGCTGTCAGACCAACAAAGAAGATGCAAATGCACTCTGGGGAAGAGGCTCCTGGGGGATGTGGGGGGGGGGGGGCCTGGGGGAGTTTGCGCGGCCAGACAGTGGGGTGCAGGGGTCACTGGCTCTGTCCTGTTGGTCCAGGGGCTTTTGAAGGCGGAGCAGGAGGGTGGAGGGAGCTGTGAAGGGGACCCAGGACAAGGGCTCTTGGTCACTGCTCCCGAAAGGCTCCGGGACATCATTGCGAAGTCACAAAGCAAGGGTAAAACCTCTCCAGCATCGCCCTGCTGGGAAGGGCTCTGCCCCTCCCTACCCCGCTTTAACATCTTATATAAGAGCCTCCTATTGTGTTACTATCAGGAGAGAAGTGACTCAGGGCCAGTGTGTGACCACGGAAAATAAAAGTAAGAAAGGAGTCTTAATTCTTGCCCTCACCCCTGGGTTATCTTGGCTCATTCCCTGATTCCTTCTGTTCACAGGCTCTGACATAAAAGGCAGGAAGTTACATACACTAAACAAAGCTCCTTGATGTCAGGAAATTAACCTGGGAAACCCCAGCCAAGGGCGATTAAGGCACTGTACTCCGAGTTCAAACACCACTGGAGCGTCAGATCAAAAGCTGATTGCTGGGCACACAGGCCAAACTGTACGTCCCAGAAAGCCTGGGCATGGGTCCCGCGCGCCTGTGTGCTGGGTGTTGTCTGCCGCACGACTAATCCTCACTCAGATCTGCGGCTTTTGCCTCTTCTTGCCATAGGAGTCTGGATGTTTGCTTTTGGCAAGTCTGCCCCCAGAAAAGCCCCTGGCCCACCCTGGCTCCCTGATTAGGGAACATCACGCACCTCACCTCAGAGGGGTTCCAACAAGTGGCCCCAGAGGAAACCGAGCCCTTACAAGAAGGAGGGTGGAGGCAGCCTGGGGATCCTGACCCTCCCAGCCAAGAAAACAAACCCTTGGTGGAGAGTGCAGAGTCAGACCAGAACAACCATGGGGTTTATGGGAGGGTCATTCTTTACATGCATACACATAATAATAGCTCTTCGAGCCTTTGCAATTAAGAGGTTGGACTAGATGTTCTTTATAAAGACTTCTGGTTATGATATCCTGGAATTCTTAAACAGCTCTAACAAAATATTTTACATCATGATGGAATTGTCAAGGAGTTTTTGCGCAGCACCACCTCATTCCCGGTATATCTCCAGAGATAAGTGTTAGCCCCATTTCACAGAGGCATAAACCGAGGCCCCACCTGGGAATTTGCTTGCTGTGATGTCACATAGCTGGAAGATAGCAGAGCCTAATGGTGTCCGGTCCAGTGCTCTAGAATGATATTGTGGGCAAGACCACTGTCCAAAAGGGACTGAAATTACATTCGCAATCATAAGCTCCAAGTGTTGCCATACCTGATTTTTTTCTGATATTAGAAAGCAAGTAAGAGTAAGATGGTAGCCACTTGGTGTGCCAGGCTTCTGGGAATTGGGCCTCAGAGAAATACAAACCTCACAATAGTGTAAAAACCTCTTCTTCTTGGGTCTACAGAGGTTAAGTTAGTCTGGAGACCCAGGAGAGTTGATGGCGTCGCTCCAGTCCTGTCCAAAGGGTCGCTCCGGGCCAGAGTCTGGCAGGACTGAGAGACAGGAAGAGCCCGTGGCCCGGTCCTGAGGCTGATGGATGAGGCGCACCACATTGAGGAAGGTGATCTGCTTCACTCGGTCCACCAATTTAATGTTCATCTCATCCAAAACACCTTCACAGAAACACCAGGATCACATTTAGCCAAATATTTGGGGACCCTGGGGCCCAGCCAAGTTGACACATAAAATTAACCATCAAAATCACCTAGAGAGGCCAGGTCGGCAGTGACAAACAGAACCCAGGTGAGCCCAAGTGAGGACGCCCAGGGATGTGAGGAAAGCAGCTTGAAGACGGGAAGTGGTCATTCTCAGGGAGGCATTGAGGGGAGGGATGGAAGGCTACTGCCTGGAGACCTTCCAGTTCCCATGTGACTCTTCCCCATCCTTTCCCTGTATCCCTCCTTAACTAAACTGGTTAACTAAACTGGTTTAAGTGAGTTTCTTTTCCTGAAACTGAACCATTCCGATTAGAATAAATAAACATATTGTGGATTTTACTAGGTAGTGACTTTCTCTAACTTTAGACCAGCCATTTAGCACATAATAAACCACCATACTGGCTGTCAAGTACTACCACTGTATGTTATGTGCCCTTGGCTCTTGGATAACTACAGACAAGAAACCACACAAAGCTGAGATAAGATTTGGGAATGGATAATGTGCTTTGACTTATCAAGGGTTAGGTGCAAAAAGTGAGGTATTGGAGAGCTATGTGTCATGTTAGTTTTGCTCTTCTCACCTCACCATTCTTCATACATTTCCTGAGGGGGCAGGGGTGCGGTGGGAATCATACTTTCAGAGGTTTACCTGAATTTGGGAAGTGCAACAGCCAGGCTGAGTCCCTTACAAAGGCCATAAGTGTGCAATACAATGCTATAATCATATTTTTTAAGAAATGTCTCTCCTACTACTATCAGCTCTTTGAAGGATGGGCTCCACGCTTTGTGCAACTTTGTAGCTCTTCTCTCTAGAACGCAGTAACTGGCACCTTGTAAGTGCACAACACATTTTTTCGGTTCATTCTTTTATTTGATTCTCACAAGAAGCCTATCTGATAGATTATATTTTTTTCAAATGTATTAACCATAAGCTAAGTTATGCTGCAATAACACACAACCCAAAAATCTCAGTGTTTAATGCAACAAACATTTACTTCTCACTGATGTCCCATGCTACAGGTCAGCTACAGCCCTGCATTGTCTTCGTCCCAGGGCCCACAGACAGACAGAAACGGCAGAACACACAATGGCTCTTCAGACATCTATTCGATAGTGGATAGTGACACAATCACTCCTACTCACTTGTGCCAGCCAAAGCAAATCTCACAGCCCCGCCTGATGTCAATAGGGCAGGGACAAATAGTGCTTCCACAGGAGAGAGGGGTGCCCCAAATCACCTGGCCATGCCCGGCACAGTGGACAAGGATGCATACATACTCCACCAGAGAGAGACAGCCACTGTCACATTATGTTACAGAGAAACTGAGGTGCAGCGATTGCCTGATCCACTATCTCGTTAGTGGCGGGCTCAGGACTTGAAGAAGTCTTCGGGCTCCCGGTGGAGGATTCCTTCCACTTCGCCACAGCTGTTCCCCAGCGCCCGGCCTGTGCTCTGTGCCGCTCCCCATTAGCATTCCCAGCAAGCTGTCACTCAGACATTTGGCCTGGGATGTTCTATTCATCAGGATCCTCTGTCCAGGGGAATCCAAGGGAGCCAAGGCAGACAAAATTAACAAGCGACAAACCAGGAAATACAGATAGAGCCAACCCTTAAGTGCTCAATAAATTGAGACACTTTTAGTTTTGTTGCTCTGTTTGTTTAAGCAGACTGGAGATAGGAAGGGGGTGGCGGCACCTGAGAAGGACAAGCAGTTGTCACCCCTTCGGGTGCAAAAGAAAGAAGAAAGACTGCTGTCTGCTTTCAGCGCTCAGGCTTGGGGGGGGGGGGGGGGGGGGGTGGGGGGGGGGGCCCTGGCCACTGGGTGATTGATCCTGTAGTAGCTGGAATGGGGGGCACGGAAGCATGCGGACTGATGTCAGGGAGAGCCCGGAGCCCTAATTTAGAAAGAGCCTTACGGGTAACCTGGCCCGCATTTTCAGAGTTAACGATTTCCATCACCACAAACAGCACCTGTCTCTAAAGGACGCCCTGGTCACCGTGGTTAATGAGCTCTCTGGCCAGGGAGCTGTTTGGCTCAAGGAAAAAAACCTGACTGCATGCAGGTCCCAAATCTAGAAAACAGGTCACCATTCACGGATTGTTTCTGACCGGATCATTTCATTTCCTTTCGGTGCGTAGGCGCATGTTTGTCTTCGGAGGGTGCGGGTTACGGGAAGGTCAGCACTCAGCGACAGAGGCCGTACGAAATACCTGCTCCCCGTCGCTGCCAGTAACATTTCTAAAGAGATTGGGCTTGATTAAAATACACATGGAAAGTCGTGACTCCAGCCTGCCCAGGATGTATCCAGTTGCATGGTATTATGAAACACATACCATCCTGGACGCTCTTCCAAAAGAACACGTACAGAAAATGCTGTCTCTCTGCCAGAATAAAGGCTCCTTCTCAATCCCCACTGCTCTCCACCCTCAGTCCAAACATCCAACAAGCAGCAGCGTGCAGGCAGCTGTGACCGAGCCGACCGAGCCCAGACCGGCCCCCGGCTCCACGCCTGCCTTCCGGTGCTCTTGTGAGGAGGCCCCGTAGGAAGGCCTGGCTACTGCTCCCCAGCAGAACGGAACAGTGAGATGCCCGGGGAATTGCTCCTTCTTGCTTTTGTCCTTCAGAGTTCCCAGTGGAGCCTCTGTGCTCCCGCGGGAGGGGTGGTGGAGGGCAGCACAGTGCACCAACTGGGAATGCTCTGGGAAGCCTTCCAGCTCCCCACGAGGCACCACCTCCTCCATCCCCTTCCTAACTCCCTCTGCTCCAGCCAGAATGCCCTCTCACTATTTCCACACCACATGCCTCACTTCTGTTCTTCTTGCTAAGAAAACTTACTGCTCTTCTCTTATCCATGTCTTTCAAGATCCAACTCAAGTTTTACTTACTCCAAGGTTCCCCAACTAGACTCTTCCTAAGCCGCTTAGATGTGTATTTTTATCACCTAAGAGCTGTGCCAAGCCGGGTGTTTACTTTTATTTTTTAGACAATTAGATCAGAACTTAATCATCCAAATAGGTGTCACTTTCCAAGTCCTCATGTTGGAGATTAATCACTTCCTCCAGCGCAGTCACTGCCCATCATAATTTGAGGATTCCTCTTTAGGGCTTGTCTTCAGAGAATGTGTCATACATTGTTGAGCTCAATAGCCTACAGCAGGTCCTCTGAGGTTTTAGGGAATCCGTCAGAACCATGACTGGTGATTGCAGGTTAGTGAGCGTACATAGATATTTAGTAACTAGACAATTTACACATCTAGAGCAGTCCCTTGAAAGAGGAAACCCTTTCTCCGGCAACGCTGCTCTGCATCCAACCAGTCCCTGTGATGGCAAATACGTGACCCATGAAAGTGATTTTATTTCCTTTTTGAGACATGTGGATGCACACCTGATTAGTAATGTAGATATTGATTTATTCGATCAACAAGTTTATTCAATCACCCCACAGATTGGCCCTGATCACCACCAGGCCTAGGGACCCTTCCCATGTGTGAGTTTTGTGCACCAAGTCTCTAGTATAGAACAATACAAGAAATGCTGCGATATAAGAACGGGTAGTTGTCTATGGGAGGAAGAGGAGTAAGTTAGACTGGAGAGTCAGGGTAATTTCCTGATGCTGTGTTGAAGGATGATTGAGTTTGCTAAATGAAGTTGGCAGGGGCAGGAGGGGAGGAATTACTTATAAGGCATAGTTAGAATTCTGAAACAGTAAGACACAGTCAAGATTTTCCCTGTGAAGAGGAATTGGTAGAATTAATGCAGGGATGAGAAGTGCTCAGGACACTGAAAGGTCGAGAAAGGCTTATCTTGAGAGCAACAAGAAGTCACCAAAAGTTCAGGCTGGGATAAAAACCAGCCAACAAACCAAAACCATATCATGTGACTAAAAACTCATGAAACATTTTTTAAAATATATCTTTATTGATTTCAGAGAGTAGTAATTAGAGGGAGAGAGAGAAACATCAATGATGAGAGAGAATCATTAATCGGCTGGCTGTCTTCTCCACACCCTCTACTGGGGATCGAGCTCGAAACCTGGGTATGTGCCCTTGACCAGAATAAACCTGGGACCCTTCAGTCCAAAGGCTGACCTTCTATCCTCTGAGCAAACCAGCTAGGGTCTCATAAAACATTTTTAATGTGTTTGCTCAGCACTTTTTCACGAAATTAGCCTAGTAAATCCTTTTAATAACTCTGTGAGAAACATACTGTTATACTCACTTTACAGATGAGGAAAGAGAGAACAGCAAGGTTTAGTAACTTGCGCAAAGTCATACAGCTAGTAAGTGGCAGAGCTGGGATTCAAACTCTTAACTTCATCTCTCTCAATCCAAAGCCCAGAATGAAAGAAACTTAAAAGGAAATTTTGAATTTTAAATAGATTTATACTGTTTAACTTAGGCACAAATCAAAGCATTAGAAAATAAAATAATATTTTAACTATTTTATACCCATTTAACTAACAGAAAATATCTATTCTGCATCCCTCAGCTGGCATAAATATATTGATGTCCATTTTTTAAATTTACATAAGTCTTTTGGAAAACAATATAATAATATATATCAAGAGTTAGAAAAATATCCATCTTCTCATCTTCTTTTACCACCTTAAGGAATTTACCCCCAGAAAATATTTCAAAAGTAGATACAAAATTTATCTTTGCAACATTATCTTTAATAGTGCAAAACTGAAAAGAGAAAAGAAAAAAAAAAACCCTACATGTGGAATGATAGGACAAAGGTTTGGTAAATGATCATGCTACTCATTGGAATATTGTGGAATCATTTACCATGACCTTTATGAGCATTATGTAATACTATGGGAAAATATTTATATGTAAACTGTCACGTGAAAAGGTACGCTAGAATAAATATTGACAATTATGAGGAATGTGACCTAATAGCTTTGCAAATTCCCCGGTGAAGTGAAACACATTGCATCATACAATTTTTCCTATAAAATGCAGTAACTAAAAATGTTAAGTAATCCCTTAAGACTCTAATGAATCCATGAGCTCAAGATTTCCTTATAAGCTATAAAATAAATTCTGCCAATAAAATAAATTCTGGATTGCATTACATCACATCATTAGTGTACTTACCTAAATTTACTTAACTCTGCAAAGTAACACCATCCTTGTCACATCATGAGAGTCCCCAGCAAGCTCCATATGCAAACACAAAAGCTGTATCAAAATGTTGCTCCCAGCAAGGGTGGGCTGTGCTTGCTTACTGTCTTTTTTTTTTAAATCATTATTGTTTCCCTTTGTGCCAACCCCCATTGGCCCCTCCACCCAGTTGCCAACCTGCCCCAGGCCTTCACCATCCTATTGTCTGTGTACATAGGTAATTCATATATGCATATAAGATCTTTGATTAATTTCTTCCCATCCCCCTTCTCCCCACTTCACTCTGAAATTCGTCAATCTATTCCATGTTTCTATGCCTCTGGTTCTATGTTATTCATCAGTTTATTTTGTTCACTAGATGTGGTTAGGGGGTGATCAGGTTGGCAGGCAAAAGCAGTTAGGGGCAATCAGGCAGACAGGCAAGCAGTTGGGAGCCAGCAGTTCAGGATTGTGAGAGGGATCTCCGACTGTCTGTTTAGGCCCCTGAAGGGTCCCAGATTGGAGAGGGTGCAGGTTGGGCTAAGGGATACCCCCCTGTACGAATTTCGTGCACTGGGCCTCTAGTTGATATATATGTATTTATGCCATTTTATGGTTCATATGTTCTTCCTTCTCCTCCTCCTCCTCCTCCTCCTCTTCTTCCTTCTTCATTTCTTCTTCTTCTTCTTCTTCTTCTTCTTCTTCTTCTTCTTCTTCTTCTTCTTCTTCTTCTTCTTCTTCTTCTTCTTCTTCTTCTTCCTCTTTTTCCAACAATTGTTTGAACTCTGTATCTGGTAGTTTGCTTCCTTTCATTTCATTTAGTTATTTTTCTGGATATTTCTCTTGTTCTTTCATTTGTGATATGTTTCTTTGTCTCCACATTTTGGCTGCTTCCTTGTGTTTGTTTCTATGTATTTGGTAGAGCTGCTATGTCTTCTGGAATTGGTAGAGTGGCCTTGTGTAGTAGGTGTCCTATAAGGCCCAGTGGCTCGACCTCCCCAGTCACCTGAGCAGGACACTCTAGGTGTGTCCCTGTGTTGATTCAATGCATAGTCTTGTTTGATCCTTGACTGTTATTGCCATATCTGGGGGGAGTTTACCTATAGGCCAATTGGCTGTGAAGATCAACTGGGAATACAGTGGAAGAGCAGCTGTGCAGGAGACACTGTATGGGGCAAGACATGCTTCAGTAGGGATTTGGTGCTCATCCAGAATGCCCCCTGAGTGTGTCACTGGTGGATATGAAGAGTTGTAATCTGGTATTGTCTGAAGCTATCCACTGAGTGCACTGGCTCTGGAGCCTCCCTGGAGGTGCAAAGTCAGCTGCTGCCTGAGATCACCTGGTAGAAGCTACAAAGTTATCTGCAGATGTCTGCTACTTGTATTGAGTTTTGAAGTGCCCAAGTGAGTCTAAGCAGTGAAGTAAGGCAGGCTGCTGCTAGTGCTGGGTCTTGGGCCTTTTACTGATATGAATGGGGCATCCTTATGCCAGTTGCTGCTTGTTTGAGACATTGTTAAGAAAGTCTGAAGCCTAAGCCAAGACAGGCCATTCATATTGAAAAGCCACTGCAAACAGTTTGGATACAACCCTAAGGTGGATGGGGCAGGGTCTCAAGGAATCACCAGGGTGGAGTAATAGTGTGAACCAGGCTGATGAAAACTCAGATATGGATGCCAGTCGGCTCTGCAACAGGGAGTTCCCAGCACAGGAACAATGACTCCTGTAAGCATCACTCAGTGTCTGGGAGAAAACCATCTCTGAGGCCAGACAATCCAATTCCTCCCCATATATTCCTTGCTTTCCCAATTCTGCTGCCCAATGCTGGAGCTCAGAAGAAATAAGACCATGAAAATTAATGTGCTGGCCCTTTAAGAGGAATTGCCTGGGTCTCCAGCAGCCACCTTATCGCTCAGTCACTATTCCTGCTGGTTTTTACAGCCTGAAGTTACAGGGACTTCTCTTCCCAGCTCTTGAACCCTGGACTGGGGGTTTGGTATGGGGCTGGGACCTATTGCTTCTCATGGAAAGCCTTCCCAACAGAGATATCTTTTCCCACACATGGGTGCTGGACCAGCCCATTTCACACCTCCACCCCTCCTACCACTCTCCAAGTACCTTATTCTTTAGTTCTTTAGTTGTAGGACTGCCATTCAGCAGATTTCAGGTGGTTGGAAATGATGGTTGTTCTGTATTGTAGTTATAATTTTCATGTGGTTGTGGAAGGTGGTAAATACCTTTGCCACCATCTTGGTTCTCTCTTACTAACTGTCTTGACGCTTACCTGTTTTCAGGCTGGCCATGTGCCCTGGCGACCCAAGCTTCCAGACCCTCCTTTATTTTGTTTCTTTCTTCTTTTTTTTTTTTTTTTTTTTTTTTTTTTTTTTTTTTTTTTTTTTTTTTTTTTTTTTTTTTTTTGTGCCTCCTTGAGCAGAGGCCAGGGCCAGCTGGAAACAGGTATCTGGGATTTATTCATCTTCTATAATTGAAACTTTGGGGGAGACCAAAATGGTGGCATAAGTAAACATTTGAACTGCTGCCTTGCACAACAATTTCAAAACTATAACTAAAAGACAAAACAGACATCATCCAGAAACACAGGAAGGCTGGCTGAGTGGAAATTCTACAACTAGAAGGAAAGAGAAAAGCACACTGAGACTCACAGGAGCTGCAGAAGGCAGAGGTATGGAGGTGTACGCCCTGAGAGGGCTGGCAACAGAATACGTGGCTGTCTTTCTCAATCGGGAGGGAGACAAAAACTCCTGACTGCTCTGAACTCCAGTTCCGGGCAAGACTCTGGGGATCCAAACACATACGAGGAGAAACTGGGCTGTCTGGCAACGGGCAAAACTCAAGGACAACTTTCTCTCAGAGGTGATTGCACTGATCACCATGGAACACTGAGGCCTAGGGGCCTCTTAGAGCAGGGCTGATGGGAAGCCATTGCTGTTTGCTCTGCCCTGAGACTCCTTCCCATCCAAGTTGAGCACAGAGGCCTTTGCATAAGAATGGCCAGGTCCTTTGAATTCTAAACTTACCTAATGAACTGCAGTGGAGTCAGTGAGACCCAGAACAACCAGAAGAAGGCCCAAGGCCCCACAGCAGTTTGCATTGCTTCACAGCTGGGCCTCATCTGGACACCTCAAATACTGAAACAAAGAAGAGGAATCTGCAGATCTCTCTGAGCTCCTACTGGGTGGCCTCGGGCAGAGGTTAAATTAGCACCTCCTTGGAGATCCAAGAGCCAGTGTACACAGGGATCAGAGTGGGACCATCCAGATTAAAACTCCTCAGATCCATAAGGGACACTCGGGGGCAGAC